CTGCTGTCCATCCCCCAGGGAGGAGGCTATACGTAGATTCTTGTAATTGGTTCCCCCTTTCTACCCCACATTCCCTCCACCCTCCAGGCATCGCCACCCTCACCACTGGTCCTGAAGGTCATCTGTCCTGGATTCCCTGTTTCCAGTTGCTATCTGTACCAACTTATATCCTCTGGTCTAGCCAGATTTGTAAGGTAGAATTGGGATCATGATAGTGAGGAGGATGAAGCATTTAAGAACAAGAGGAAAGTTCTGTTTCATCGTTGCTACCCTGCATCCCGACTGGCTCATCTCCTCCCCACAACCCTTCAGTAAGGGGATGTCCAGTTGCCTACTGATGGGCTTTGAGTCTCAACTCTGAACTCACCCTCATTTACAATATTTTTTGTTCTTTGATACTTGATACCTGATCCCTTTGACAACTCATGGTCACACATGCTGTTGTGCTTCTTCCATGTGGGCTTTGTTGCTTCTAAGCTAAGATGGCCACTTGTTTATCTTCAAGCCTTTAAGACCCCAGATGCTATATCTTTTGATAGCTGGGCAACATCAGCTGTCTTCACATTTGCCTATGCACATGTTTGTCTTCAGTGATCATATCAGGAAGGTGGGCACCCACTGATAAGATTTTTTGTTCTTTGATGTCTGATAACTAGTCCCTTCTATACCTTGTGGTCAGATAGGCTGGTGTGCTTCTTCCATGTGGGCTTTGATGCTTCTAAGCTAGATGGCCACTTGTTCATCTTCAAGCCTTTAAGACCCCAGACGCTATATCTTTTGATAGCCCGGCACCATCAGCTTTCTTCACATTTGCTTATGCACACATTTTTCTTCAGCAATTGTGTCGGGAAGGTGTGCATCATGGAATCAGGCTTTTTTCCTTAACACTTACTTACCAGTTTTAAGATTAGGGCTTTGAAAGATTGCTTGGAATATAATGCATAGGGTTCAGACTTAAACTTGACCAGAGAGAGAGCATGCACAATTGTTTACTGAAGGATGACACTACATCCACCTTTCAAAGTCCTACTTTTGGATTGGGTGGATTTCCTACATAAGATTCTTCCAATATCTTCTCTGAGGGATAAAGGCCTGGCTCTTATTCTGAAAAAACAATTGGGAATACAGATATGACTTATTCATCTTGTTTCCATATTGAACCCCTGAGCTCAATATTGTTTTACATACCTCAATCAATAAGTCCCAGTTTCCTCTCCTACAGGAAAAAATCGGAGTGAAGGGTGGGGCATTAGTTTAGGAAGATGAAATCAAGGGTGTTAACAGCTTCTTAAATATCTCAACCAATCTGACTTATTTTAGTGTCCCACCCTGACCCTCAAGTGAGGTATCTGGTACTGCTAATTCCTGAGCCTTTTGAGCTTTAGCCACATAAATAGGATTGGCTTTTGATTTCTTGTTGATAGAACTGCTAATTCACGTCTGCTTTCTATCATCCAAAATAGTTGTCCCTGGCACTGTAGATTTATACTTACAACAAGCAACTCTTAAATACTCCTAAAACAAAGAAAACTTAATTCCTTTAGAATATAGTCTTGGTGGGATTTCGGGAGGGAGTCAAATACTGGCTCCTGTAGTTTTTGTCTTTTGCCTTCCCAAATTAGTCAGTGAAAACCCATTTGTCGAGTGCATAAGCAAATGTGGTGAAGAAAGCTGATGGAGCCTGGCTATGATATAGTGTCTGGAGTCTTAAAGGATTGAAGGTAAACAAGCGGCCATCTAGCTCACAAGCATCAAAGCCCACATAGAAGAAGCACATCAGCCTGTGTGATCATGAGGTGTCAAAGGGATCAGGTATCAAAGAACAAAAAATTGTGAATGAGGAGTGCAGATTGGGGACCCAAGACCCATCTGTACGCATCCCCTTACACAAGGGTCTTGGGGAGATGAGCCAGTCAGGGTGTAGTGTAGCACTGATGAAACATTCAACTTTTTTCTAGTTCCTAAATGCTTCTCTCCCCGCCCCCCCCACCATCATGATCTACCTTACAATTCTACCTTACAAACCTGGCTAGACCAGAGGATGTACACTGGTACAGATAGGAACTGGAAACACAGGGAATCTAGGACAGATGATCCCTTCAGGTCCAGTGCTGAGAATGGCGATACTGGAGAGGGAGGGGTGGAAAGGGGTAACCGATTACAAGGATCTACATATAACTTCCTCCCTGGATGACAGACAACAAAAAAGTGGGTGAAGGGAGACATTGGACAGTGTAAGACATGAGAAAATAATAACATAAATTATCAAGGGTTCATGAGGGAGGGGGAGCACGGAGGAAGGGGAAAAAAATGAAGAGCTGATACCAAGGGCTCAAGTAGAAAGAAAATGTTTTCAGAATGATAGCAACAAATGCACAAATGTACTTGACACAATGGATGTACGTATGGATTGTGATGAGTTGTACGAGCCCCCAATAAAATCATAAAAAAAAAAGAGCAAGTGGAACGCATACATTGAGTGGAAAATGAGACAATCACTTTGAAAAGAAAAAAAAAAAGAAAGAAAACCTGTGTGTCACCCTAGTTCAATCCACAAAGGGACCAGGCATCATTTAGCTTTGCTATATATGAGGTCACCATGAGCCAGGGCCAAGGTCACGACTGCTAACAAGTGATTTAAATCCGCCACGAACCAGTCTCCAGCAGAGAATATATATTTTAATTCTAATGTTGGTTTAGAGGCACATTGATGCCTCTGGGTAAACTGCAGACCCAGGAAATGGAAACTAGCATGACCAGAAGTCTTCCTATCACCTAATAGTGTGAAAGTCAGTCAGGTGAGGTGTGCCCATTCAAGAGAAATGTGCTGCGTAAATGTAAGGGGCAGTGCTATCTTCTTTTAAGATGGTATTATTTCACTAGCAACAATGTATTGTTTTTCTTGAAAATATCATGAATTGAGGGATATGGTTATTCCCTCCCTTGTACTCCTTGTATTTTATTTAATATTTGCTTTGGGTTCGTGAATTCCATATTGGGGGGAAATAAAAAGACCCATCTCCTTGTGTTCTAATCAAAGTAAAGAAGACCTGATCTTCTGTGCTTTCTGTGATTGCGTATGTAAGTGTATATGAATTTTTAATATGTTTTATATCTCCTTCCAGCCATGTGGATTCTGTTAATGGCAAGTTAGCAGGCCACACAATGCAGAACAGGAAATTAATATTCCTAAGGAGAGGAAATGAGATACTACATGAGGGTGAGGCATCCAGTTGCTAATGAAAAACGTTTGATCACACAGAACTACCACCTTGCATGTGTTTAGTAAATATTAAGCTCTGATTTCACACTTTGAAAAGACTTGAAGTATCACACAGGTAATGTGTGGTTCTTTTTGCAGCTCCAAAATGTGAATTCTACCATTCTTCTGGGATTCTAGGCTCTAACTGGACCATGGGTCTCTAGCTATGACATCAAGCATGATACTCAGGTTACTTTTGAGCTTCCTCTGAATTTAAAAACCATCCCTATCAATCTAAAACACAACCACTCATCTAAAATAATCCCTGTCATTTTTTCAGCCTACAGATCCAATTGCTGGCATATGAGCAAAAGTAATTAAATTTTAAAATATCTTAATACTGATATAAAATAAACTTTGTTTTGCTATTACAGGTTGCCAGAATAGACTCGGTATATTCAACTGTATGGACATCTTACCCCTCAAAATAGTAATTACTATAAAACATATATAGTAACTAAAACTCTATTTAGTGTAAATATCTTTATTTCATATTGTCAGATAACCTAAGACCCTCATCTAAACTGGCTTTTTAAGACATGAACTATAATAAAATGATTTGGGGGAAGGAGAACAAGATGCAGAATTTTCCACCTTTAAAAAAAAATCTCAAATTATGAAAATTAGATAAATTGATTTTTTTTGTAGTACTTGTGATTACTTGGTTAGACAATGAGCTCTAGTACCTCATTGTACTGCAGCATAAAGAGACGGAATAACAACGGTTTTAAGGTAGAAAGTAAAGGTTTTCACATGCTACTTAGAATTGTATTTCTATGACAGGCTTTATGTGTGGTCAGCATGCTCTCAGCTACTGCGCCATGATTCAAATCCTAGCTTTCACCACTATCTTGTTCACTGCAGTTGAGTCGATGCTGACTCATTTTATTGGGTGCCAGTGATTTTCAAATGTAAGGGGAAAATGTGATGAATGAAAGTCCTAAAAAGAAAATGGGAAATGAACATACTGAGTATTGCTGCTGTGGCTAATTAACTCAATGATTTAACTGCCCGAATGAAGGGTGGTCCTGTTGCATTCCGGGAGCTCTCGGAGCTCCATCCGGTCTTTCACAGAGCCAAACCAGGGTTATTGATGTATTAAGCCACATACCTCACCACCATGGGAAATTATCTCTTTAATTTTGTTGTTGTTATTGTTTAGGCTTTGCTTTCTACCACACCAGACGTAGAACACCCCACAAGACTTATGCATATACTAGTTTTATGTTCACAATCACGCATTTTCCTCGAACCTTTGCTTTCCTATGGCTTCCTAAGCCTACAGGTGGAAAACGCTCAGCCCGGTGGCGATTAAGCAGCCCAAGTCAGCATTCTCAAGAGCACAGGCCATTACACGCACTCTTTATGAGGCTTCCTTCCTTCCCAATCTTATCACCACAGAAGCACTTACAAATATCAGCTAGGTGCTAGGTGAAAATGGAAACTCCTCAGTCACAAATCCCTGAAGTGTTACTACTGTAAACTACACAGGAAACAGCCCAGGGGGGTGGGGCAGCTTTCGCCTGCCTCTAGGAACCTACAGGAAGCCAAGGTTAATGGCCTCGGGCAGGCTTAAGCTGTGCTGGCCTTGGCTCTGGTCGGGAGGGCATTTTCTCACGGAAGGATGGCATACATGGGGCGTTTCTTTGGGGTCCAACACAAACCCCTTTAGTCACGCAGGCCTGCACATGCATCCCCCTCCCTTCATGGGATAGCCGCGCCCTTGGGGGCCCATTACCATCCTGCAGGATGAGGGTGGGCTGCACCGCCTGCACTCGGAACTGCCTGGCCCTCCAGCCAGGGCTGGGCGCTCGTACCACCTCGCTGTCGGACAGCCAGGTCACCGTTTCAAAGTTGTCCCCGCGAGCCAGCGCCTCGGCCTCAGCATGGTGCACAGCTACCCGGTCGAACTGGTAGAGGCCGCCGGAGTGATCGAAGTGCACGTGGGTGGCCACGGCCAGCAGCGGCCGGCGTTCCTCGTCCTCCTTGGCCCCGCGGTCCTGCAGGAGGCCGGAGGAATAGAGATACTCGGGGAGACTGCGCAGCCCCAGGCCCGTGTCGATGACTACGTCCTGCTCCGAGCCGCGCACCAGCCAGATGTTGGCCCGGTTGCCCGACTCGTAAAAGCGTTCCTGAATCCAGAAGATGCCGTCGCCCAAAGATTTGTGGGCGTACCACTCGAGCGCTGACATCCTGAGCCAGGGGTGCAGCCAAGCGGGGTGAGTGTGGGTGTGCTTCCTGCGGGCTGGCCCGACCGGCGGCGCTGCGACGGAGTGCAGCCGTCAGCCTGCAGCCAGGGGGCTGGCGCAGAGCGAGGAGGGGCGGAGGACGCAGGATGTGGGAGGCGGGAGGGGGAGGAGAGGAGGAGGAGAGGAAGGGTGGCTCCCTTTAGCGCCGCGGAGGCTGCGCGGCTCGCACCGGGCGTAGGGGCCGGAGCAGGGTCTGCAGCCGCAGCGCGGTCGCGCTAACGCAAAGACTAGGCCACTGCCGGGGAGACTCAGAAGACCCTTTCCCCGACCCTAGGGCGCGATGGCCGAGGCCAGGAGAGAAGCGTGGGTGGCTGCTCTAGTCAGCCCGCCGGTGCGCAACGGCCCGCACTCCTTTCCGGCGCCGAAAAAGTCAGGCCTACCTGTTGGAAGGAGGTTTTCTACGGCGCCTGCCAAGGGACAAAAAGCCTCCGGCTCGGGGGGGTGGGGCTTAGCCACGGAGTGGGCGGGGCTAGTGGAGAGGCGTCTTCGCGTGGCTCCCGGGCCGCGTGGAGGGCGGAGCGCGCGTCTTCCGAAGTGGGACCGGCAGCCGCAGCCTCTGCGTCCTCTGCTCGCACCCTTTCTTTGCCAGCCAGCCCTGCTTCAGCGTAGTTTTGCCTAAACCACGAGCCTTAGTGCACAGGTAACTGAGCCAGCAGTCGGGACCGTGGGTAAGGGTGCGGACGGCAGAGGGAGTTTAAAGGGGCACGTGGATGAACGGGAGGAAGCCATGAGTAGATGTTCTTTAAGGAGCCTCTGCTTAGAGCTGTATTGGGAGATATCTTACCTCACCTTGCTCTGCTCCCTTTAAAGTCTTCCAAAAACGCCCTTCCCGGGTCTTACCTGGTCTCCATTTTCTGGGACTATTGGCGGTGAGTTAGGAGAGGATGTGGTTTACTGGTGGTAGCAATTTTCCAAATCCAGTGATCTGGTACGTGATTTGTGCAGGCACTAAGTCATTGCGGCAGACTTGCAGCTGAACTGTTGGCTCTTTTTACTCATTGTCTCGGGGATAGGGACTGACAATAAGGTTTTTCTTTGCTAAAAATAAACATCTGCATCTTTTCTCTAGCTTCTCCCCATTTCTCTCCCTCCAGTTGATTGACTCTTTGAAGAGAGCACAGAAAGTTGCCAGAAAGGCTCCGGGGAGGTGGAGGTGGCTTGTGAGCACGGGAAAAGTGCTTATTATCTGGGTGTGGCCCTGCCAGCCACACCAAATCACCTCCACTATTAATGCCCAGTCTCTGCCCCGCCTCCCCTTCCAGCTATTAAACGTTCATTTAGGCTTTAAAAATTCCCTTGAGAACTTGACTAACTTCCCCACTCAGCCAGAGGAAAAATGTATTAAGGGACCCATGAGACAGCATTATGAAAGATAATTATGAAAATCCTTATTGGCAACTACTGGAAAGGTGTACTCTTCTCCCTTACATTGTTTAGGTGCTTGGTGGAGCTATGGCCTCTCCAAAGATGTTAACCCTTTTGTGATCTGTGGGACAGATATTATCCACCAACCTTTTCAGCTTCTCAGGTTTCTTGGGAACCTCCTGTCCCACTTGTAGTATGAGCTACCACTTAGCAGGGGGGGGCCTGTGAATCTGTAGCAATGGGTCTCACCTCATCCTGCCAATCCTACCACCAGAGCCCACTTGGGATCTATGTATATCAAAACTCTTGCAGTTAATACTGAAAATATTTCCCCTTTGATTAGACATCGGGCCTGCTAACTGGAAGGTTGGTTGTTTAAACCTACCAACAGCTACTCCGGAAGCAGACGGGGCTGTCCACCCTGTAAACATTTACAGGGTCTTCAGGAGTCAGAATCAACTGATGGTAGTGGGTTTGATTCATTCCTTCTTGAAAGCACAGGGAATCACCACAAATTTCAAAGCAGGAAAATAGGTTCTAAAAGGGTTAACCAAGTAAAAGGTTATTCAGTCCTGGCTTTGGGGGCATTTTATTTCACAAATCGATTTTGTTGTTGAGAATACACACAGCACGGTGTGCGCCTTCAGTCATTTCTACATATACAGGCAGTGGCTATGTCTTACATTCTCCAAGTTGTGCGACGTTTCTGACTTGTTCCTTTCTCATTAATGTGAACTCACATCTCCTTTGGTTTTGTGTAAATAGTTCTTAAAAGAGCATGATGTTCAATGAAGAGGTTTTTAAAATTAGTTAAATCACTGTTTGGGTTCAGGAAGATGACTGAGAGTCATTTTGGTTTACGTTTTAAAGATCGCGTGAGGACAATAGTTTCAGGGGTTCATTTGGCCCATATGGGGGTATTCTTATATGCAGATCTGTGCTATAGCTTTCCAGAAGCAGATTGGCACATCTTTCTCCCTTGTACTGCCTGGTGGGTTTGAACCACTGAGCCTTCAGTTAACAGCTGACCCTCAACCACTGCTCCCCAGGGCTCCTTAGATGGACCACCCAAATAAAACGTCTGTTCCATCCAGTCAATTCCAACTCTCAGTGAGCCTCACAGAGTAGAACTGCCCCGGAAGGTTTCCAAGGTTGTAAATCTTTGTGGAAACAGACTGTCAGGTTTTTCTTCTGTGGAGCTGTTGGTGAGTTCAAACCACTGACTTTGTGATTAGCTGTCAGGTTATGCATTCGACACTACCTGTGAGGTCAGCTCTGAAATCACCAGCTTCTATGTGAGAAATGAGACTTTCTCTTCCGATTAAGATGTACAGTCCATATACCCACAGGGGCAGTTCTATTCTGTCCTATAGCGTGGCTCTGACTCGGAATGGACTCCACACCAGCGAATTGGGTTTTGTAAGAGTACAAAGGAGCCCTGGTAGTGTAGTGGGTTAGCAGTGGGGCTGCAAAGCTCAAGGTTGGCATTTTGGACCCTCCAGTCGTTCGGCAGGAGAAAGAGGCAGCGATCTCCTCCCGGGAAGATTTGTAGCTTTGGAAATCGTAGGGAGCAGTTCGACTCAGTCTGACAGGGTCCCTATTAGTCAATAATTTATGAGTACAAGGGATTGTTGAGGAATGGCATTGTTTAGGAGCTGCCTTAATATTCTCATCAGAGAAATACAGTGCTCCTCTTAGTATGGGTATTTTAGCCTTTAGACCAGCGGTTCTCAACCTGTGGGTCACAACCCTTTTGGGTGTTGAACGACCCTTACACAGAGTCGCCTGATTCATAACAGTAGTAAAATTACAGTTATGAAGTAGCAATGAAAATAATCGTATGGTTGGGGGTCACCACAACATGAGGAACTGTATTAAAGGGTTGTGGCATTAGGAACGCTGAGAACCACTGCTTTAGACAGAAGGGAACTGCCTTCTAGCACAAATTCATCTGATATTTCCTTTGCCAGGATCTGGTTATTGATGGGGATGAAAAAGGTAAGTCTTCAAAGAGCACTCACCCTTCCCGACCCTGTGCCACATTTACCCTAGAATATCCTTTCTAGTTCTCTGCGTGGCTCGCACACTCCCATCCGAGTGGTGCTCACATAGTACCCAGTACAGGAGGACTACTTCAAGCCCTCTTTCCACAGTATACCCATGTTTCCTGCTTTGTGTTCTTCCTGTCACATATACCTGACATTTTCTACAAAATTAATTTCTCTTTGCTTACTTTCCATTTCCTGTACTGATTTATGAGCTCCAGGAGAGAAGAGGCTGACACAGTGGTTATGCATTGAGCAGCAGTTCAGAGCCACCAGCTGCTCCTCAGGAGAAAGAAGAGGCATTCTACACCTCTAAAGGAAACCCACAGAGGCAGTTCTGCCCCAGCCGTAGGGTCGCTATGAGTCGGCCTTGACTGTGAGGCAGTGAGTTTGGTTTTAGTTTGGATGGTCTCAATGGCATGGCTGGACACGGGAAAGTGTTAAGGAGAAGTGTGGCTGTAAGAAGCCAGAACAAGGGCGCAGCCCTGGGGGAACCCTAAGAAGGTGGGGCTGCCGCTGTGGTGTGGAAATGGTCGCACAGGGCGGGCGTTTGCAGGGCGGGTTTGAGTTGCTAGAATATTTCATGTGAATGTGGAGAGAAAGGGCACTCCTGGCAGGAGGTTCACTGCAAGCAAGAGCTGGGGCCCGCAGGGCGTGGCTACGGTGTGGGATGCTGGGGCCAGTGCAGAAAGCTAGGCGCACAGGCACCGCTGGCTGCTGGTTGAGGAAGAAAATGGTCACGATTGATATTTGGAAGGGGGAAGTCTACCTGAGGGAGAGTTATTGTTTTCTGTTTCAGAGGTCCAGATCACCCAGGTGATGAAGGAGAACATTTGGGAGAGGACAGAGAGTGGACACTTGTCAACTGGTGATAATCAACTCATGGCCACCTCATGTATCAGAGAGAACTGCCCCATCAGGTTTCCTTGACTGTAATCCTCACAGAAACTGTTGGCTAAGCTTGAATTTCCCAGAGAAGGAAAGCACGTTCCAACCACCGACCTTTATGCTAGCAGCCGATTGCGTGTTTCAGATATGGAGACCATGGAAGAAAGAGAGGAGTTTAGGAGGACCATTAAGTACCCCGTGTGTCATTCATCAAGAAAGCAGATGTCTTGGTGGTGAGCTCCGATGCGGACACACTGAGCTGAGGTACCTGTAAGAGATGCAGATGGGAATATGCAGAAGGCAGTCAAGATAGGTCTTATGAGATAAGGGTTGGATTTAAAGATCAGAGAACTATCCACAGGGCTTACCCAGAGGCCAAGAAGTGGATGGATTCACAGTGAAGAGTTTTGGGAGCCATGGTCACCCTGTCAGACATGAACATATGGAGGGGATGCATGTTTCATAAAGGTTAGCAGGCACGGGTGTATGATCGGGGAGTTGGTTTCTACATCTTCTGCCTTCACATGTACTTAAGACTGACGAGCCTGGGAGGAGCATGTGGGAGAGTCACGGCTGCATTTCTTTTCCTGCAGTGAAAACCGTGAAACTGCCACCAGGCTGTGGGTGTCTTCTCCTGAGCTTCCCTGCCTGCTTCCAGCGGCTATCAGTGCATTTCGTCACCTAACTATTCTGTGCAGGGAACTCCTTTAGAGGTTAGTTCCGGTCAGCACCTGGCACGACGTGGTTGTTGCAGTTGATTTGAATGGGCTATGTTTGCATGGTACATTCCTGGAAGCTTGAACTGTACCCATTACCTAGCCATCTCAGAATAATTTCACATAGAGATTTTGGGGAGGCATCCTGATAGGGAAATGGGTGATGCTGCTGACTTTGCATTTTTACATACAACCCACTGGACCTTATTCATTCACATCACTGTGAAGATTAATGACATACCAGGGATTAAAACAGATTTCCACTAGCCTAGTGCCGCGGTTTCCGAGTAGGGAGAATGAACAACGAACCAAACAGACACACACACACAGAGACAATACAGGACTGCAGCACAAAACAGACACAGACAGAGGCGGTACAAACTGCAGCCCTGACGGACCACAGCGCTTTATTCTTCTCTGCTAAATACTGGTGGTGTTCCCAGAGAAGTTCGCTATTCCCATGCTTGAATTTCTCATAGCCTTGAGAGAGTTTCGTATCTCAGCCCGTATTGCTCTTGTTTACTGCTACCAGGGAAGACTGTTTGCAGCTGTTCCCCAAATTCCTTACCGTTTGCAGTAAGGAAGCAGTTTGTGAGAACCAGCTGGGACAGACGTGTGCGCACTGT